TAAAGTGATTGTTGTTGTTGTTGTTGCTGCTGCTGCTGCTGCTGCTGCTGCTGCTGCTGCTGCTGTCGTTGTTGAGCTTTCATTTCTGAAGAATAATTATTGTTGATCCCCTTCACCGGTGCATATTGTTTTTTCTCAATCCAAGTGTGTCCCTCGACGCTCGCACTTTGTTTTTTGACAGGGAAAGTCTTGGTGCTCAAACTGTGCCCCTGGCCCCCGGGATTATAACAACAACAGCTCCCGCTTGAGACTTCCTCCAAATTTACGCAGGACCCCCGCTCCCGCCTGAGACTTCCTCGCAATTTACTCAGGATCGGTGCTCCCGCTTATGACTTCCTCGCAATTTAGTCAGAACCCCCGCTCCCATTTGAGACTTCCTCACAATTTACTCAGGCACGGCGTTCCCGCTTGAGTCTTTTTCGCAATTGAATAAAGTTTCCTTTGCAATTTAATCAAGACCCCCGCTCCCGCCAGAGAACCCTTCACATGTTATGCAGGAATTGCGCTCTCGCCTGTGACTTCCATACGATTTATTCAGAAATTGCGCTTTCGACGCTCAGGAAACACGCTGCGCCAAGGACGCCGCCACAATTTACTTAGGAATCGCGCTCTCGCCATACTCAGGCATCTCGCTTGAATGTCCCACCCGCCCGACCCGCCCGTCAGGGGATCGCCCGCCCGTCGTGGGCTCCCGCCCGAGACTTCCTTCAGGGACGGCGCTTTCGCCTAGGTCTTCCTCGAACGTTCACGCTCTTACCTTCCTGCTCCTCCTCCCTCTCCCTCCTCCCTCCTCCCTTCTCTCCTCCCTTCTCTCTCTCCCCCTCCTCTCCTCCCTCATCCTTGTGCCTCTCTGCCCTATCCCCCCTCCCTCCTCTCCCTCCTCCCTTCTCCCTCCCCTCTCCTGCCGCCTCCCTCCCTCTTTCTTTCTTTCTTTCTTTCTTTCTTTCTTTCTCTCTCTCTCTTTCTCTCTCTCTCTCTCTCGTCCCTCTCTCTCTCTCGTTCTCTACCTCTCTTACCTGTCGTTCACTCTCTCTCTCTCTCTCTCTCTCTCTCTCTCTCTCTCTCTCTCTCTCTCTCTCTTTGCCTCTAATCAACCGCCCCTCCCTTTGCTCCTTCTCTCCTGGCGTTTTCCCTCTTCCTTCGTCCCTCCCCCTCCCTTCCTCCCGCTCTCCATCGTTCTCCCCCTCCTCTTTTTGCACGGCCCACATCAATTCCAATGGTGGGTACATGTACGCCCACGAAGGATCGTCCGCCCGTTCAGGTTTGCCCGCCTGTCTAAGCCCGCCGCCCCCCGCAACAACAGATCCCCTCAAGGGGTGTGTGTGATCGAAGACAAAAAGGGCGGGTACTGAGGGTGTGGGGAACTCGTTTGTAATGACACACGGGCAAGTAAGAGCGAACAGTCTTATAATGAGTGTTGTTGCTGCTGCTGTTGCGGTTGCTGTTGCTATTGCTGTTGTTGTTGTTGTTGTTGTTGTTGTTGTTGTTGCTGTTGTTGTTGTTGAACTCTCACTCTTGAAGAATAATTATTGTTGATCCCCCCACCAGTGCACATTGATTTTTTCAATTGAAGTGCCCCCCCCCGGGGCTCGCACTTGGTTTTTTGTCAAGGAAAGTCTTCCGGCTCAAACTGGTCCCCTGGCCCCCGGGTTACAACAACAACGGCTCCCGCCTGAGACTTCTTCACAATTTAGCCAGGACCCCCGCTTCCGCCCGAGACTTCCTCGCATTTTATTCAAGAGTCGCGCTCTCGCTTGGGACTTCCGTACGGTGAATTAAGGAATCGCTCCTGCGTTCTGGAGTCGCGCTCTCGCTGGAGACTTGCTTGCAATTTACGGAAGAATAGCGAGCGCTCTTGCGTTGGAATTTCTTGCAATTTCCTCCAGCGCCGCGCTCCCGACACCCAGGCACCCAGGAGTCGCGCTCACGCTTAGGACTCCTTCACAGATTACATAGGAATCGGGATTTCGCTGCCCTTCGTGGCCCCGTTGCAGCCCTTCGTGGCCCCCACGTTTTGTTTCGTGGCCCCGTTGCAGCCCTTCGTGGCCCCCTCGTTTTGTTTCGCGGCCCCGTTGCAGCCCCTCGTGGCCTCCTCGCTGCCCTTCTTGGCCCCGTTGCAGCCCTTCGTGGCTCCCTCGTTTTGTTTCGTGGCCCCGTTGCAGCCCTTCGTGGCCCCCACGCTTTGTTTCGTGGCCCCGTTGCAGCCCTTCGTGGCTCCCTCGTTTTGTTTCGTGGCCCCGTTGCAGCCCTTCGTGGCCCCCTCGCTGCCCTTCGTGGCCCCGTTGCAGCCCTTCGTGACCCCGTTGCAGCCCTTCGTGGCCCCCTCGCTGCCCTTCGTGGCCCCGTTGCAGCCCTTCGTGGCCCCCTCGCTTTGTTTCGTGGCCCCATATATGTATGCCCTTCGTGGCCCCCGCTCGTTCGCGCCCGTGGTGGCCCCATATGCATGCCCTTCGTGGCCCCGCTGTCGCCCTTCGTGGCCCCCTCGCTGCCCTTCGTGTCCCCGTTGCTGCCCTCAGTGGCCCCGTCCTTACCCTCCGCGGCCCAACATACGTATGCCCTTCGTGGCCCTCGCTCGTTCGCGCCCGTTGTGGCCCCATGTGCATGCCCTTCGTGGCCCCGCTGTCGCCGTTTGTGGCCCCCTCATTGTCCTACGTGGCCCAGGTGCTACCCTCAGTGGCCCCATCGTTGCCTTCTGTGGCCCCGCATTATCTGCCCTTCGTGGCCCACGCTCGTTCGCGCTCTTCGTGGCCCCATACGCATTCCCTTCGTGTCCCCGCTGTCGCCCTTCGTGGCCTACTTCGTGTCCTTCGTGGCCCTGCTGTCGTGCTCTCTCGCTCTCGCTTTCGCTCGTCGTCGTCGTCGTCGCCGTCGCGTCGTCGTCGTCGTCGACGTCGTCGTCGTCGTCGTCGTCGTCGTCGTCGTCGTGGTCGGTCCCCTGTCCGTTCCTCTTGGGGTCGGGTCGACGGTCCGCGGCCGCCCCGCCGATCAGCGCTGCCGCTGGCCAGGCCGACGGTCCGCGGCCGCCCCGCCGCTTGCCGGGGCCCGGCCTGCAGGGAAGAAAGGTATACCCCCCAGAAGGGGTTCGATCGAAGACGAAAAGGGCGGGTATCGAGGGTTTGGGAAATTCGCGTTATTCGACACTCGAGCAGATAAGGGCGAACAGTCTTAAAATGATTGTTGTTGTTGTTGTTGTTGTTACTGCTGCTGCTGCTGTTGTTGTTGTTGTTGTTGTGGTTGTGGTTGTGGTTGTGGTTTTGGTTGTTGTTGTCGTTGTTGTTGTTGTTGTTGTTGTTGTTGTTGTTGTTGTTGTTGTTGTTGTTGTTGTTGTTGTTGAACATTATTAATTCTAAAGAATAATTATTGTTGGGCCCCCTGGTGCGCGCCCCCCCCGCCGCGCCTAGGCCGCAGCCACGTTTTCATCATTTTCGTGAGGAAGCCTCAGGTAATTCGATGTGATCAAGATCCGGTTGTTTTGTTGTAATCCGTTTTCCCTTGCAAAAAACACTATAAAATGACATTTCTTGTTCTAATATAATCAAATTTCAAGAATCCCTTGCAAAAAATAAGGTAAAGTGGACATTCGCGCGCGCAAGACGAAATCCTTCCAAAAGCTTAGTGTTCGGAGCGATTTTAACATAAAAACATCAAAAAACCAATGGTTTTTCAACAAAAAAATGTCAAAATCTCATCCCGCGCGCTCTTGCGGATTCGTAGGAAACCCAACACTTTTTAAACATTTCTGTCAAACGGGCTTTTGCGAGCAACTTTTTCGAACTTCTGCGACAACGGTTGCGCACCTGCCAGGGCCATCATCCCTGTCAAATAATACCATGCGGGACACATTCGTCTCTCTGTATTATGTATTGTATGGCACAATTGCACCATGCTGGGCACATGCGCGCCCCGAATAAGTGACCAAGTTCTGTGGGTGTGTACCCCACGCCAGTGTAGTAGCCACGGTCGTCCGCACGCCACGAAGTGAAGTGTCCCAACGTCATAGGGCGGGAAGCTGGGTTTGGGTGGTCGCGAAGAGTCGTTTGGATATTTGGTAGAGCTTGTAATGCCCCCCCACGAAGTGGGGGTATTGCCTGGTGTCGTATGAAAACCCTGGCACTGGGGAGAACACCACGCGTTCGGGTAAAATGATTGTTGTTGTTGTTGTTATTGTTGTTGTTGTTTGTGTTGTTGTTGTTGTTGCTGCTGCTGCTGCTGCTGTTGTTGTTGTTGTTGTTGGTGGTGGTGGTGTTGTTGTTGTTGGTGTTGTTGTTGTTGTTGTTGTTGTATGTTGTCGTCGCCCCCCGGCGACCCACCCGCGACCCGACCCGCGACCCAACCCGCGACCCACCCGCGACCCACCCCGCGACCCACCCCGCGACCCATCCCGCGACCCACCCGCGACCCAACCCGCGACCCACCCGCGACCCACCCAGCGACCCACCCGCGACCCACCCGTGACCCACCCGCGACCCACCCCGCGACCCACACGCGACCCACCCGCGACCTCCGCGACCCACCCGCGACCCGCCCGCGACCCAGCCGCGACCCACCCGCGACCCACCCGCGACCGATCCACATTGGCTCGAAGAAAAGATCGGCGCATGCGGCGGGCTCGTTGTATCATGTGTGAAGTTGTTGCGCCTGCGGCGGGCTTTGCCAAAGTCTCGCAGGCTGCCGACGTCCCCACCGCTTCCTCACTTTTACCCGTATCTGCGGGGTGCTACGTATCTCACTCCCACCGGCCCACCCTCCCAGGGGGGGGTATCGGCTTGCGAAGCCCGCAGGAGAAGGCATGCGTAGCACCCCGCGGTTGCGGGTAAGAGTTTTGGGGGGCGGGCGCGAGGTGGGTCGCGGGCGGGTCGCGGGCGGGTGGGGGGTGAGTCGCGGGCGGGTCGCGCGCGGGTCGCGGGCGGGCGCGAGGGTGGGTCGCGGATGGATCGCGGGTGGGTCGCGGGCGGGACGACAACAATAACGCAACGCAGCAACACTCCGTTCTGCGGAACCCCACTCCGGCCACGCACCCTGGGACAGTGAATGCTCGCTCGGCCCACTCGTTCTGATACGATCCAGGGCTCCGCCCCCCCTCGCCCACATGCTAAGGGGATGCTAGCGGGATCGCCCCCCCCGCTGGGTGGATACGCCCGTGAACCCGGCGAAGGCCTCGCGGATCAGATCCCCCCCCCCTTTGTGTTCGTGGCCCTGCGGGCTTGGCGTTGTGGAGGGGGGCGCTGGTGCCCCCGCCCCTCCCCCTGTGGGTGTAGGGTGGTGCTGCGGTGTCGTCGGCGTCGTCGTCGTCGGCGGCGTCTGCATCGACGTCGGCGTCGGCGTCGGCGTCGGCGTCGTCGTCGTCGTCGTCGTCGTCGTCGTCGTCGTCGCCGTCGTCGTCGTCGGCGTCGTCGTCGTCGCCCCCCCATCACATCGGGCGGGGGTCAGGGTCGCCACGAGCAAAGTGGGGTCCCGATGGCCACGGGTCCTGGACCTAGGGCTTCACTCATGTCAAGTTTTTCGCCGAATCGTGTGAGCTTTTTTTGGAGGTTCGGGCAATTTTACTTGCATGGCGTCCCCTTCTCCCCTCGCCTCTCTTCAAACGATTATTGGCGTGCAAGTGCCTTTCACCTTGCGTGATATCCGCACGTGCCAGTCGTTCGCGGCTTGCTTCAGGTTCATGCCCCCCCCCCGTCCGTGCCAGTAATCTTGCCGGGGTCTAAAAAAGAACAGGCTCGGACTGGGGGCCAATTTTTCCCCTCGCGCCATGAGGTGGAGTTCAGCATGAGGAAGCAGATCTGGGGAGACCACGACGGGAGCCTGTACTATTCCTCGCATGCGGGGCACAGGCTCTACAAGATGGACGCCGCGGGCTCGCTGCGGACCGTGGCCGGGAACGGGCAGCCAGGCTGGTGGGGCGACGGCGGCTTGGCGAACCAGGCGGGCGTCAGGTACCCGGGGCCTGTCTGGGGCGACCGCTCGGGCCATGTCTTCTTCGTGGACAACGCCTCCTCCTGCCTCAGGCGCATCGACACCCAGGGGATCATCGCCACCGTGGCCGCGTTCTCCTGGCCGCGGCCCTCGATCGGTGCCCTCTGGGGCGACCGCTCCGGGGACCTCTACGTCACGGACACGGAGAGGCGCCAGGTCCTCCGCCTGCGAGCCGAGGGCGACGGGTACGCAGAGGAGGTCTTTGCCGGACGGGCCCCCGCCGCCACGCCGGCACCGCTGGGCCACAGCGGCGACGGTGGGCCAGCTCTCCACGCGAGGCTCGCGCAGCCAAACGGCCTCTGGGGCGACGACTCTGGGAGCCTTTACGTGGCAGAGATGGCCGGCCACCGCATCCGACGGATCGATCGTGCCGGCAGGATCTCGACGGTCGCCGGCACGGGCAGTCCCGGCTACTCTGGAGATCACCGCCCACCAAACCACCCCGACCCCAATCCAAGGCCCCGATTTGCCCTCCATTTCCAGTTGGGGGGGGGGGGTCGGGGAACCTTGGAAAAACATTCAAGAAGGAGCCCGTACTACCCCCCCCTCCAACCCGACATTCGGGTCTTCGGGTTGGGTTGGGGTGGTCTGGTAGGTCGTCAGGAGACGGCGGCGTGGCGACGTCCGCCAGGCTGAAGTGCCCGTGCGACCTGTGGGGGGACGGCTACGGGAGCCTCTTCGTCGCCGACATGGGCAACCACCGCATCCGGCGGGTGGACCCCCAGGAGCCTGTTTCTTTAGGCTCTGGCAAGTTTACTTCCTCCTCCTCCTCCTCTTCCCCCCCCATAGCTCTCGCCCCTCTTCAGATGAATGCTAGCGTGCAAGTGCCTCTCGACTCGCGTGATCTCCGCACGTGCCAGTCGTTTGCGGCTTGCTTCAGGTTCAGGCCCCCTTCCGTCCATGCAAGTAAACATGCTGGAGTCACACAAAAACAGGCTACAGGGCAACATCTCGACGTTCGCCGGCAACGGATCCCAAGGCTACGCGGGCGACGGGGGCAGCGCTCGGGACGCCAGTCTCTCGGCGCCAAAGGGTGTGTGGGTTGACCGGCACGGTGCCGTCTTCATGCGAAGAAGAAAAGCAAGGCATAAACATAAACGTTCGGCGCTCCGCGCGGATGTCTTGGATCCGCGCTGGGCCCCCCCCGGCGGCGCCTCCGGCGCCGCCCCTGGCGCGCTCCGCTTGCCCTGGAGGGGGTCCAGCGCAGCTCCAAGAAATCCGCTCGGAGCGCCAACAGCTGATGTCCATGCCGTGTTTCCTTCCCCTGCTCGTCAGCGACACCTTCAACCAGCGCATCCGCCGCGTGGACGAGCGCGGCGCGATCTCTTCCTTCGGCCACCTGGGAGGCAGCAGCCCCAAGTCGTCGAGGCGCTGGTCCGAGGGCCTCCGCCTGGGGCGTGCGCCCGGGCTGGGCCACCTGCTCTCCGACGCCCGCGGCCACGCGCTGCTGAGGCTCGCGGGCGCCTCGACGAGCCGCCTCGCGGCCGCGGACGCACGGCCCGGGCCCGGCGGCGCCGCGGCTGCGCC